AGTGTGGTAAATAAAAATGGGGGGAGGGTCTTCTGCTGAATTGATTTAGTTTCAGAAAGTTACAGAGTGGTTTCAAGTACATTAGACTTAGACTTACGGAAAGGGTGAGACTTGGAGGAGAATGTGCTAGAATTACTAATGCTTTTAGCTGCATTCTGGTCTCCGCTGCTATTGGGTCTTTTACATTGTGTTTCAACCTGGGAGAAAATGGACTCCTACGCAGACTATACATGTGAAGAACGATGCCTTGTCAGAGGACATTGGAAGATTTAGAAGAAACTGTAATTCCAGTTAACCGCGAATGACTAACTCAGAAGGGAACTTTCTGGGGGTGCTGATTTCTGCAGCGCTGCACCTCTCCCAATTTCTGATCCTAGAGGCATACCTAAAGATCTCTGAGCTGCTCTGATGTCTACTTCACAGTGCTACTGGGAGGCTTAAAGAAGATAATGTGAAAGTATTTGGCACAATGCCTATAATAAGCTCTCAAGTTTTAGATTCCCTTTGCTTCCCCATAGCAACTTTTTTTTTTCCCTCTGAGCCATGAATTACTTTGTATTATTATTTGCCTTTTCACAGAAGTTTTGTCTTGACCACAAGATTGTAACTTCTAGCATTCTTTCTTTTTACTCTTTTTTGAGTCCCTTCTAGTAGTGTGCTGCCCATAGTAGTACCTGGGAGAGTGTGTGTAGATAGTGGTGGTGGTGAGGAGGGGAAAGCTGAAGGTGACTCTTAACAGCACAGCATTGTGCTAGATCCCAAAGCTGAGGTAGACAAACTTGTCTCATTTGCCTTTCTCTTATAACTTCTAGGCTTCTACCAGAGCTCCAAAACCTTGAAGAATATTTTTATTTTTAGTAATTGAAACCATTTTTAAATGTACAGTACAGTAGTGTGAACTGTATTCATATTGTTGTGCAATAGATCTCTAGAATTTTTCTTTTTTTAAAAAGTTTATTTAGGGGCGCCTGAGTGGCTTGGTCGGTTAAGCGTCTGACTTCAGCTCAGATCGTGATCTCATGGTTTGTGATCTCACGGTTTCTGAGTTCAAGCCCCGCATCGGGCTCTGTGCTGACAGCGCAGAGCCTGGAGCCTGCGTCAGATTCTGTGTGTCTCTCTCTCTCTGCCCTTCCCCTGCTCACTCTCTCTCTCTCTCTGTCTCTCAAAAATAAATAAACATTTAAACATTTTAAAGTGTATTTATTTATTTTGAGAGAGACAGAGAGCACAAGTGGGGGAGTGGCAGAAAGAGAGGGGGACAGAGGATTCTATGTGGATTCCACACTGTCAGCACAGAGCCCGATGCAGGGCTCAAACTCACAAACCACGAGATCATGACCTGAGCTGAGGTCAGACGCTTAACCAACTGAGCCACCCATGTGCCCCAGATCTCTAGATTTTTCATCTTGCAAAACTGAAACTTCATATCCATTAAACAACTCCCCATTTCTCCTCCCCCAGCCTTGGCACCTACCATTCTGCTTTCTGTTTTTATGTATTTGACTACTCTAGATACCTCATGTAAGTGGAATCACGCATTATATGGCTGTTTGCAACTGATTTCACTCAGCATATATCCTCAAGTTTCATCCATGTTGTAATGTATGAAGATTTCCTTCTTTTTAGGGCTGAATAATATTCATATATATATCACATCTTTTGAAGTTTATTCATTTTTGAGAGAGAGAGAAAGAGAGACACAGAGGGAGTGGGGGAGGGGCAGAGACAGAGAGAGAGAGAGAGAGAGAGAGGGAAACACAGAAGCCCAAGCAGGCTCCAGGCTGCACGCTGTCAGCACAGAGCCCAACATGGGGCTCGAACTCACGAACTATGAGATTGTGACCTGAGCCGAAGTCTGATGCTTAATTGACTGAGCCACTCAGATGCCCTGATCACATTTTTTCTTTATGTGTTCATCCATCGATGGACATTAGGTTGCTTCCACCTCTTGGCTCTTGTGAGTAATGATGCAATGAACACTGGTGTGCAAATATCTCTTTGAGATCCTGTTTTCAGCTTTTTAGATATATTTTTTGTATTATTTTCTAATTTTTATTATTTATTTATTATTTTTGAGAGAGAGAGGGTGCAAGTGAGCGAGGGGCAGAGAGAGAGGGAGAGAGAGAGGATCCCATGCAGGTTCCACACTGTCAGTGCAGAGCCCAAAGCATGGCTCAAGCTCACCCGATGCGGGGCTTGAACTCACGAACCGCGAGATCATGACCTGAGCCGATGTCAGATGCTTAACCGACTGAGCCACCCAGGGCGCCCCTTTAATATTATTTTTAAACTTTTTAACCATGGATAATTCCAAACATACACATAAGTAAATAAAATGTATAATGAAGGGTGCCTGGGTGGCTCAGTCAGTTGAGCGTCCAGCTTCGGCTCAGGTCATGATCTCACGGTTTGTGAATTTGAGCCCTGCGTCGGGCTCTGTGCTGACAGCTCAGAGCCTGGCACCTGCTTCAGATTTTGTGTCTCCCTCTCTCTCTCTGCCCCTCCTCTGCTCTCAGTCTGTCTGTCTCTCTCTCTCTCTCAAAAAACAAATAAACATTAAAAAAATAAATAAAATATGTAATGAACATGCAGGCTGAAGAAATTAGTCTATTAATTGTACAAAGTAGCACCCCCAAAACACCTGGGACTTTTCCTGGGCACTCCCTTTCATTGAAAGTTTGCTGTGGGTGAGGATGTTTTGGGTTATGTTTCAGACCTGGGGATGTTCTAGCTGCACTTCATCATCTAGGCTCCCAAGCATCAGTGTGACTTGAAAGCCCATCTGCTTACAGAGATGAGGACCTGAGCTTGGGGTGCAAAGTGGTCTTTGTGCCTAAGAGTTTTGCTCTGGTTCAACAACTCCGTCAGGTGCACAATTGTCCTAAAGGCAGTCACTCTGAACAGAGATGTTAGACACTGGATGATACCTATAGCAGGCTGGGAAGCTGAGTTGTACAGGCAGTAATTGCTATAGGAATTCAGAGGAGGAAGAAATTAATCTAGACTGGGAAAGTCAAGGAAGGCTATTCTCAAAGAAGGTGGTGGTGACCTTACCCTGTTTCCGTTGAAATATATGTATGGGGCGCCTGGGTGGCTCAGTCGCTTGAGTGTCCGACCGGCTCAGGTCATGATCTCACGGTTCGTGAGTTTGGGCCCCTCATCGGGTTCTGTGCTGACAGCTCAGAGCCTGGAGCCTGCTTCGGATTCTGTGTCTCCCTCTCTCTCTGCCCCTCCCCCACTTGTGCTCTATCTCTCTCTGCCTCTCAAAAATAAAGAAATGTAATAAAAATTAAAAAAAAAAAGAAATGTATGTTTGATCCTTATGTCTATTCCTAGATGCAAAGAGATTCCTAGATGAAAAGAGCTGATGATCAGTGGATACCCTGGGATGATTGCCTACTGGAGCTGAATTACACCCTGAACTTTTAGCTGTGGGACCTGTGCTAGTGAAGGCTTCTTGGTGGAATGCCTTGCTGGTCAGAATTGGCTGTGTGTGAGGATAGCTGCCTCCAGTGTGCCTGTGTGAAGCATACTCAGAAGGCCAGCTTTTCTTTTTTTTAAGTTTATGTATGTATGTAATCTCTACATCCTACGTGGGGCTTGAACTCACAGCCCCAAGATCAAGAGTCACATGCTCTTCCAACTGAGCCAGACAGGCTCCCCAGAAGGCCAACTTTTCTTGATTCTGACCCAAAATAAGGTGTTTTGTTTTATCTATGATATGGGCCTGATGTAGACCTTAGCTAATAAGACAACAAGATGGGGGATGTATCTATTCCCCCAAATTCCGAAGGTGAGAAACTAACAGATTCTCAATTTTTTTTCCATAATCAAATACATATGACAATTTATCCCCATTCTTCCATGTTCTGACACTTGACAAAGCTAATGCTATCAGGATCAGGTCTGAAATTAGTATAGTAGCTAAGAAGCTAAAAGGAAATGGAGTGTTTTGGGGGACACTGACAGGGTAGGGCATTGATAGTAAACATGCTTCTTGGAGATCATCTGTACCTTACCATTAACTCTCAAATGCTTGATTCATGAAGAAATGGATGAGAAAGTATGGTGCTGTTATGACCTATGGTTTTGCTTAGATAGGGTAGGAAGGGATGAGATCCCTGCTTTGTCTAGCATTGTAATCATATTACAGAATGTTGCCTTCCCCAGAACAGTAGAAGAATTATTATGAAGTCATGGTAGCTTCTAATACTTCTAATGAGTATTCCCTATGTGGCAGGCACTAATGAGTACTACATGTACATTGTTTCATTTAAAAACATGCCCAAATTTACAAAGCTTAGGAAAAGAGAGGACTGGTTTTAGACTCCAGGTGGTCTGACTTCAGAGCCTGGACTCTTAACGACTTCTGTAGAGGGCTATGTCTGACTGGCCTACCTTTCTCTCCAGTATTACAGTGTCACTGTTTGTTAGGAACAGAGGTTTCTTTGCTGAGTCCATAGCCACATCCCCAAAGTAAGAGCCATGTCTCTTTTGTTTCAACCTTTAGAACCTTCTTTATATATCAATGGTTTTTAATTTTTATTTATTAAAAAAAAATTAATGCTTATTTATTTTTTGAGGGGGGGAAGGGGCAGAGAGAGGGAGACACAGAATCTGAAACAGGCTCCAGGCTCTGAGCTGTCAGCACAGAGCCCGATGTGGGGCTCGAACCCATGAGCCACAAGATCATGACCTGAGCTGAAGTTGGACACTCAAAAACTATATCAATGGTTTTTAAAAAATTAGTTCCCATTTATTGAGCACCCACTATGTTTTAGCACCTTTGATAGAGTATATCCAGGTGTCATGACAATGATGTAACATAAATATCTATGTATATGAATGGTTTTTAATCTTTATGGGCTCAGCCCTTTTCGACAATCTGATGACAGTTTTTGATCTTCTTTCCAGAAAAATTCACTTACGTACATTCACATCATATTGTATACTTCAGAGGCGGCTTCTAGGACCTACTGAAGCTTATTGTCTAGCAGTCCATGGACTCCGCGGTAAGAACCCCTACCCTATACACTCTTTCTCAGCTGACTCTTATGTGGTGTTAAGGGGATGGATAGTGTGTGGGGGGGTGTCTTACTTCCTCAATTTCTCAGAGGGAAAGAAAGGTTTATAAAGCATAGGCTCCCAAAATTAACCAAGCATCTGTGAACACCCTTTCTTCTTCTTCTTTTAAATGTTTTATTTACTTATTTTTGAGACAGACCATGAGCAGGGGAGGAGCAGAAAGAGAGGGGGAGACAGAGGATCTGAAATGGGCCCTGTGCTGACAGCAGAAAGCCCGACATGGGGCTCGAATTCACAACCCGTGAGATCATGACCTGAGCCAAAGTTGGACGCTCAACTGACTGAGCCACCCAGGCACCCCTGTGAACACTCTTTCTTTCTCTCTTTCACTTAGGACTCCAAGGGAAGAATGCAGACAATCAAATGTGTGGTCGTAGGAGATGGGGCTGTAGGTAAGACCTGCCTCCTCATCAGTTACACAACAAATGCTTTTCCTGAAGAGTATATCCCTACCGTCTTTGACAACTACAGTGCCCAGACATCTGTGGACGGCCAAATTGTCAGCCTGAACCTGTGGGACACAGCTGGCCAAGAGGAGTATGACCGACTGCGAACGCTGTCCTACCCCCAGACCAATATCTTTGTCATTTGTTTTTCTATTGGTAACCCATCGTCGTATGCCAATGTGAGGCATAAGTGGCACCCAGAGGTCTCTCATCATTGCCCCAATGTACCTGTCCTGCTGGTAGGCACCAAGAGGGACCTGCGGAATGACATTGAGACAGTGAAGAAGCTGAAGGAACAGAGCCTAGTGCCCACAACTCCTCAGCAAGGCACTTCCCTGGCTAAGCAGGTGGGGGCTGTGAAGTATCTGGAATGTTCAGCCCTGATGCAGGATGGGGTCCATGAGGTATTTTCAGAAGCTGTCCGCGCTGTGCTTTACCCTGCCACAAAGAAGAACACCAAGAAGTGTGTCCTCTTATAGCTTTCAGGGTGCTACTTGGGGACTGCACCTAAGGAGAATGAGGGGGATTCCTTTGATAGCATTTAACAATGCCAGCACAAGTGATTTGTCTCTTTTCCTAGAACCCGTAAGCTCCAGGTTGTTGGGCTTTTGGAGGAACAAAGACAGCCTAGTTTGTACATGGCTGCTTTGAAGTTTGGTCTGAATCTTCTGGAGGAAGTTTGGGGAGAGAGAGAGAGACTGACTTTTACCTCTAAATTTAGCTTTCCTACTTATATTTACCATTGAGCAAGTGCCTCACAGAAGGACAAGTTTCTACAGTTTTCAGATCATTGCCTTAAACTTTCTAATATGTTAATTTTGGAAAAGCATTTTATATGTGATTCCTGGGTGTTCCCAGTATTGGCATGTTCTTCCCATTCTTGAGATCAGATATTTTTGCAAAAAATGGTTAAGTAGCATTTTTCAAAGTTCTGTGAGATACTAATAGATGTTCCTTAAAAGGGTTCTGTGGTCAAGTAAGTCAGGAACCAGTGATTTTTTTTTTCAGTTTTTGTTTAAATGCCAGTTACCATACAGTATAATATTAGTTTCAGGTGTACAATATGGTGATTGAACACATCTGCACAACACCTGGTGCCCATCACAACAAGTTCACCCCTTAACCCCCATCACCTATTTAACCCAGCTCCCCACCCACCTCCCTTCTGGTAACCCGTGATTTAAGTAAAGCTGAATAGGTTCCTCTACTGCAGGAATTTATAACTTTCAATAAGTAGGCAACATTTCCCAAAATTATTTCACTGAACTTTTTTTGTTTTGGTCCCATGCAACACCTGTTAACATCTCTGGAAACACATTTTCAGAGATACTCAGTTAATAGGTACTAGAAATTCTCACAGAGGCTGTGGGGGGAAAAAGCATAATGTGATCCTGTTCTTTTTGAGGTTTCCCTCTTTTTTAATGTTTATTTATTTTTGGGGGGGGGGGGTAGGGGCAGAGAGAGAGGGAGACACAGAATCTGATGAGGCTCCAGGCTCCGAGCTGTCAGCACAGAGCCTGACGTGGGGCTTGAACCCACTAACGTGACATCATGACCTGAAGTCTGATGCTTAACTGACTGAGCCATTCAGGTGCCCCTCCCTCTTTTTAAAAAAAGTTTTATTTTGAGAGGGAGAGAGAGAGAGAGCTAGAGCACACACAAGTGGGGGAGGGGCAGGAGGAGGGAAGACAGAAAGAGAGAGAGAGAGAGAGAGAGATGCAAATCTGGAACTCAAGAACCTTGAGATCATGATCTGAGCCAAAATCAAGGGTTGGCTGCTTAACCTTAACTGACTGAGCCACCCATGTGACCCATTGATGTTTCTTTCCCTCCCTATGCCTTTGAGAGGAGTATTCATCCACCATGGACTTGTTGTTGGTTCCTCTTCCACCCTCAGGAAATGGGTTTGGCACTTAGTCATGATAGTGCCTTGGGAGTGGGGTCTTGATGGTCAGATCTGCTCAGATTATGATAGCACTATGGGCTTGGCGATGTGGAGTTGATCCCTCCATAAAGCTGTGTCCCTGAGGTGTCTCTTAGTCCCTGTTTTTCTGTCAGCTTTCACTTTAGGAAAAGACCACTAAAGGTTAACCCCATAAATAAAACTAACCAACCAACAAACAAAATGTTCTGCTAGTCATTGTCAGGGAGTTCTTTGATTCCCTCAGACTCCGCAGTGTCCTCTGAGTTACCATAAAGGCTACCTTGCTCTCTTCCTGTTCCTCCCTCCTCTGTGCATCTGCATCTGTGTGTGTGTGTGTGTGTGTGTGTGTGTGTGTTTAGTCTTGGTTGCCTTTGAGGTCCTGTAGTTGCTCCAAGAGAGTTGGAGAGTATGTTGTATCTCCAGACCCCGGGGCTGTCACATTTGTGGGGATTTTGCTGGAGTTGCTCACCCTGCTCTGGAGAGTAGGAGTCAGATTCCTTACCCTGGTAGGCCTGCTTCTCCTTATCCTCCCTACTTGTAGTTTTGACCTTCTTCATTTTATATAGAAGGAAAACATAACTTCTCCACCTGGCAGATAGTGGTTGAGAACTCCGCTGTGTACATACTCTCTCACCCTGCCAAAATAAGCATTGGATCTTTGAGAGTCTGGGAAATGGAGTTAAAAGAATCACATCCCGCCTTCTGTGGTGGGTGAAGTGCCTGTGTTTTGCTCTGTGATGGTCTTACTGTTGCTCTTTGACAATATATGATCAGATTAGCCCTCAGGTAAACTGAACCTCCTGAATAGGGTTGCCAGATAAAAGGGAATACTTTTTTTTTTACAAATAATTTTTTAAGTTTATTTATTT